GGTCACTACACCGAGCCCACGACAACCACGACCACGACCACAACTACGACGATGCCTACGACGACCACGACCACGACCACGGCGATGGGGTCGACCAACACGATGACGGATGCTGGCCTGGCCAACGGGACGACAACGGCGGCGCCCGACTTGCTGTCGGCGGGCAATGATACAGCTGCCTCGACGACCATGTCCATGGATGCTTCGACGACGGTTGCCTCCACTACCACTACTACCACCACCACTACTACTACCACTACGACTACCACGACTACCACACCGTTTGATCCTACCCCATACCTTGTCGACGGTGTTCCGGCCTCGGTGGTGCTGGAATGCATCAGCAGCACGGGCGACGAGCCCAGCCGCCCCCCTGTCTTTGATGTCATGGCCTTTGACACGTGCAGCCAGCAGAACTTTGATGTGGACTTTGTGGAGACCCGCCACCAGGGTGCTTGCGTGTTGGACGTACGCTATGAGCGACGCTGGACCAGCAAGGATGAATGCGGTAACGTGGCCGAAGCGGTTCAGAACATTACGATTGTGGACCGCACGGCGCCGGTTCTGGTGGGTGAGCCCACACCACTGATGCTGGAATGCGACCGCAGCGACAATGAACAGACGTTGCGTCGTTGGTTGGCCTCGCACGCGGGACGTACGGCCGAGGACGTTTGCAGCATTGATCTGACGTGGACGCATGATGCCAACGTGACAGCGCTGCTGGAGAGCAACAGCTGTGATGGCTCGGAGCAGACGACGGTGACGTTTGTGGTGTCGGATCCATGCGGCAACTCGATCAACTTTACGAGCTGGGTGGCCATGAAGGACACGACCCCGCCGCTGGTGACGGTTGCGGCCGACTATGTTGTGGACGAGTGCAAGGCGTCGACGCAGGAGGCCAAGTTCCAGGCCTACCTGAACAACAACGGACAGTCGATGGCGGTGGACGCTTGCGACACGACGCTGGAGGTGACGCGGTCGGTGCAACGGCAACTGCTGTGTCAGGCGACGTTTACGGCCAGCGTCAACTTTACGTACACGGACGACTGCGGCAACGCGGTTGTGGTGCCGACGGTGTATGTGGTGTCGGACACGCGGCCGCCGGTGCTGACGCTGGCGGGCAAGGCGGTGACGACCCACGAGGCGACGTTTGACTGGGAGGACCCGGGAGTGGCATCGGCCATGGACGACTGTGGCGGTGACGTGACGGATCAGGCACAGCTGGTGAACAACCTGGATGTGCTGGTGCTGGGCGTGCAGCAGATCAACTACACGGTGACGGACGATTGCAACCAGGTGGGGCATGCTGTGCGGCGGGTGACGGTGCAGGACACGCTGCCGCCGTCGCTGTCGGTGACGCGTGCGGGCGTGGTGCGTCTGCGCCAGGGCTCGAGCTACTTGGTGCCGGAGGGCGCGTCGGCCACGGATCGCTTTGACGGCGTGCTGGACAGCGATGCGTTTTCGTACATTCCGCGCAACCTGTCGCGTGTGACGCAAAGCGTGGGCACGCGGGTGGTGTCGTTGGTGGCGACGGACTCGTCGGGCAACCGGGCACTGGGGCCTCTGCAGACGGTGCAGGTGCTGCCTGCGCTGGATCAGTCTGAGAAGAGCGGGTACATCCAGGTTGAGTTTGACACGGACCTGAGCGTGCAGGAGGATTCCGAGGCGGTGATTGCGGCCAGTTTCCTGGTAGCCATTGAGTCGAGCAAGCTGGAGTCTGAGAGCGCGCTGGGCGATGCCCTGTACGCCCTGGACGTGAACGTGTATGAGAAGCCCGTGTGCTGGTCGTACCACAGTGGGCTGGCGGTGTGCCGTGTGGACACGCTGGACTCGTCTGAGGTGAGCCTGGATCTGGTGGCGAACATGGAGGGCGTTGCGGCTGTCATGCCACGGGCCAGTCCTGTGCAGGCGTTCCATGTGGGACTGAGTGCACGGCACTCGGTTTCGACGCGAGCGGCGATGCTGGCGCGTTTGAACGTGATGACACGAACGGATTTGGAGTGCCGGCACGGATTGTGTGAGTACCTGGTGGAGCGATCGGAGGTGTTGCAGCCGGTGCCGGTGATGCGCGCCCACCCACGCTCGCGAGTGACGCTGTCGGCCAAGACGTGGAAGGACGACGAGGACGTGGAGGCGGATCTGCTGGAGCTGGGCCTGATGCCGCTGGACTGTGTGCCTGTGGCGGGCCAGGCTGGGCGTGTGGTGGCCGATTTTGCGGGACACCTGAATGCCGAGGCGCTGTCGGTTGTGTCTGA